GTAGCACCTAAATCATAGTCACCTTGAAGCTACACTTAATTTGGGCTTTTCAATAAAAAATGTTTTGGCTGTGCTAAATGCCCTATTTCTCCTGTTAAGTATAAAATCAGTCTACAGTCAGCAAAGATTTTCTCCACACTAGTAGTTGTTGTAGAAGGTATTCCAGTCACAGATGGTACAGGACAGTATGGTAGATGACCACACTCTGACCACTGCTGGGGGCCCTTGGCAGTACCCTGTGTGCTCCACCTGGGGAGGGAGCTGCTTCTGCAGTGCAGCTTGGCAGGTAGCAGGTGACAGTGGGATGGCCAAGAACTGTGGGTCAGGGTTACAAACAGCTAATTCTTGGACCCTGAATGATACCTAGGTCTGAACTGAGGAGAAGACAAAGCAAAACTCACCAACGAGACGAATGAGGAGAAAGCGAGGGAGGGATAGAAGAAGCAGAAGGATGAAGACACAAAAACGGGAGAAAGAGGAATAGAAAACTCAAGCACACACAAGCTATGTGGTGGGCAAAGAATAAAGGCCAGACCTGGGTGTTTTCATCAGGCTTCAATGGCCTGACAAAAAGCAGTTCTAGCAGGGCACAATGGCACATGCCTGTGACCCCAGCACTCTGCGAGGCTGAGGCAGGAGGATTGCAAGTTTTAACCTACCCTAGGCAACTGAACAACTTAGTAAGACTCTGGCTCAAAATAAAAAATAGATGGTTGGGGATGTAGCTCAGAGTGAAGGCCATAGGTTCAATCCCCAGTAACCACAATAATAATCATGATAAGAAGGGGAAGGAGAAGAGGAGGAGGAAGAGGAGAAGGAGGAGGAAAGGCAGTTCACTGACCGGAATTCTCCAAGGTTTAATATCACAAGCTTGATAGCTCTGGTTTAAAAATTTTAATTTCATCTGATGATAGGCCTGTTTCAGGCTCTTCTGAATGTTTTCCATTTTTGAAGGGGCTCCCGTCATTTGGAGCCCATTTTTTAGAATTTAAAGGACTATGTTAGCTAAATGCAGAGCCAGCAATAGTTGAATAAAGCAAAAAAACAAAAAAACTCAAAAGTATTCTGAATGCCAAAAATGCCTAAGATATAAAAATACTTAAGGACCACCAACTCTTACACTACCTGTGAATGTTAGCAATGTGACCTTGCTTGCTCCTAAAATAGGAAAGTTGTTCGAGTAGGTTTTTTTGTTGAGTTGATATGAAACGAATTTACCCAGAGTCATTGCCAGTCTTATCAGAGCCTCCCTGAATGGAAACCTTCCTGCTGACCAAACCAAACTCCCTGCTGCCTTCACTGTCCTCATTTCTGTACATTCAGTTCATTATGAAACCAGTAAATTAAGGGCCACCTCTGAAGCAGAACACTGTGCTAAGAAGCAGCAAGGCCCAGTGAAGAAAAAGGAATGCAGTGAGGCACTGATAGCCCTGGGGATGGCTTAGTCTTGGAGGAGGCTGGTCTGGGAAGGATTTCCGGAGGTGATGGTGCCTGTGCAGATTGAAGATGGGTGGACAGGTCACTGGGCAACCAGTGGGGGAACTCTGCCACAGATAGACACATCCTCAAAAAGCCAGTTAGTTTCGGGTGGAAGGAGGACTGATGGGAAAGGGGTGTGGAGGCAAGGGTGTAGAGTGTGGGGTGCTGAGCAGTAAGCCCATTCTGAAGGCCTGCAACACTCTGCTGAGGGGCTGGGCCTAGCAAAGGGCACCAAGTGGAAGGAAGGATTTTAAGCTCCTGAGTAACACGATCAGATGAGATCGGTGACTCCCCTTCCCCTACAGCACCCCAGTGACTTCAGTGAGCTCCTCAGGGGGAGTGCAGCAAGGAGCAGTGAGGGCAGCCATGGTGGTACAGACAATAATAGCAGCTTCCATTTTAAGGCCCCTCTGGAGCCTGCATTGTGCTAAGTATTCCACATAGATGTTCACATTTGCTCCTGAGATGGACAGCATTATTCACCACTCACAGGTGAGGAAACGGAGGCTCTGAGTGACTAAGCAACTTCAGGGTCAGCCACCTGGCAAGTGCGCCAGCTCGAGTCCAACACAGTCAGCTCTCCTAACCCTGCACTCTTAACCACTGATGTGGGAAGAATTCTTGGGCTCAGCCCCTCCTCTCGAGCCCCCTAACCTACTTTAGGAGGGGCCTCCGTTTCCACCTGTTTCTCTTCACCCCTCTGCAGAGCAGGTCCCAGGCACCCTCCTGCTCAGCTCTCCCTGATGGGGGATGTAAAGACCTACTTGTTTAGATGTTAGGAGGCTGGTCTTTGTATTCCAGCTCAGGGGTGGAAACTAAACCTGTGGTAGAAATGAGCCCACAACATGACTTGAGAGTAATAGGTTTTTGAGGCTCAGTTATTGCTGCTCTCAAAGTGTCATCAACTGATGACAACAGACTCATCAACTGAGTCTGTAGCCTTTCTGCACCAGGTTCCTCAGTCTACCTGGGATCCTGAAGCATCCTCAGAGGCTCACTCCAGCCCTCTCACTCACCTAACCTCGGCCACAGAGGAATCCATCAGCTGTGCATGGAAGTAAGCCCAGCAGTGCAGTGGGGACTGGCAAGACATGGGGATTGAGGGGATCCCTTGGTGCATGGACCCTGACTGGCCTCTCTTACCTCAGAAGCATCTACTTCCAGAGAGTGCACAAAGAACTTTTGTCTTTTGCAAGCATTTTTAATGGGCTTCCTACCTGTGGTCCAGGAATCCCTAGGAGCCCACGAACCTTCCCTTAAACTATATTTGAAATGTTATCTACGAACATATGTGTATTTTTCTAGAGTTCTTAGCCTTCTTAAGTTTGAAAAGGAGCCCTGTGGCCCAATCACAAAAAGCATAGCAAAATAGCTGACAATTGTGCAGCTCTTTCCATGCTCTCCACACTCCGGAGCTTATGTCATCCTCCAAGCAATGCAGCCCTTTTCCTGCTGGGACAGAGATGCAAGTGAGGCTCCCGTTAAGCACCTTTCCAGTGACCTAACCAATCAGCAGTGGAGCTAGGATCTGCGAAGGCCAGCCAGCTTGGCCTGGGAGCTGTCGTCATCAGCACTTACCTGTTAGGTTCGGTATGAAAGACCTGGGGATAAAGAGAGGCCCTCTCTAGGGCCACACCACATGCAGATGATGAGGGAATGCTAACATTTGTTCAGTGTCTTCAAATTGTCTTTGTTTGGCTTTTAAGAAAAAAATGAGAAGCACAAATTTTGGTGTGACTTTTTTTTTTCTACCAAAAACATGAGTTGGCTGACATTAGCCGTACATCTTTTAAGATAATACTGTTTCAAAAACAACTAAAATAGATGCTTCCTCAGACTAGTGTTTAAAAAGAGAGAGAGAAAACTTTTTCAATTGGTTTTTTAAAAGTTGTTTTTTAATAACAAGAAAATGATGACATGCCCCTGCACATTGGTCCCCATCCACTTTTCCTCCCCTCTGCTTTGGAATGCGGACTGCATTTTTCATCATTGAGCTAGTTGAATTAAGAATTGGTTACTTCATTGACTTAGTTGCACCTGGAACAATTTTGGGGCACAGGAGGGAAGGACAAGGAAGTGGCCAGGCCAATTTGCACCCCTCCAAAGAAGCACAGCCAGGCAGTATGTCCAGGTAAGGCCCAGTCAAGCTCCTGCCTTGAAATTCTCTGGCTCAGATGCTACACTGTGGAATTCTAATTCTAGCCCCACCTTCCCCACTTCCCATAGTCACCTCCTCAACAAGGACTGTATAGTAGCTACTTGTGTAAAACCTCACCAGACCTTACAAAGCGTATCACATGTCCAGTCTGGAAAACAAGCTCTCCCAGTGGTGCAGAGAGAAATCTGCCACACAGTAAGGTCCAGGCCAAGGGGAGCTAGCAGCATCACTCAATGAGCAACCAGAAAAGCCCAAATGCCCACATAGACTAGAGGAGCCAAGCAGCCACCCCAAGGGCCCTGGTGATATACGTGTGACCCTGGAGCCAGAACCTCAGCTGCTCCTGACTCAACCACTTATGTGAATCCTGGAAGTTACCTAATGTTTCTTTACTTTGTTTTCCTTACCTACAAAACAGAAATAATAAATGCAGCTATTTCATAAGGATGCATGATAAGGATTAAATGGAGATGACTGAGATAATCCTCAGAACCCGGTTCATCAGAAGAACCAGTAAATACTAGCTGATAATATTGCTAGCTATCATCATAATTATGGATTTGTGTCCATCTGCCCCCCCAAAAGACGTTGAAATTCTGATCCCCACTCCCCAGATCTGTGAATGTGACCTTATTTGCATTTGGTTAAATTAAGGTGAGGTCATTAGTGTGGGTTCAAATCTAGTATGACTGTATCTGGAAAAAAGGGGGAAATCTGGACACAGTGACTGACATATGTAGAGGAAGACAGTGTGAAGATGCAGGGAAATGAGAGCAAGGGAGGGAACAGAGTCTGCCTTGCAGCCTTTAGAAGGAACCCCCCCCCCCCCGCAACCAACACCTTGATCTTACACTTAAAGTCTCCAGAACTGTGAGGCAGTAAATTTCTGTGGTACAGGCTATTCAGTTTGTGGTACTGAGAAACCCATGCAGTCACCATCCCAAGTACCAGACCCACCTCTTGGATATACCTGGTGTGGGTGTGTAAAGGCTCCCTTAAAGAAGCCTGAGATCAGTTACTGCCTGCCAAAGCCAGAGTATGATCTTATTCAGTGCAGCAGCAAGGGGTGGCTGGGCTCGCCTCTCAAATGCATACAACATCTCTCTCAGGCATTCTTAGCATGTCCTCGCTTAAAGGTCTAGAAGACCAGCCCAGCTGTTCCACAGGACATTCTTCCCAGACTGTGCACTCCCCTCCAGCAGGACACTAGCACCAGGTGGCATTCAACCTGTCACCCTCTCTCTTCATGGTCCTCCACTCCATGTCTCCTTCCAAAGACATTTGTTGCATTTTATTGCTTATGATCAAATAACCCAGTGTTGGCTTCCCTAACTTTCTGTGATGTGTTTGCCCCTTCTGTTAGGTGATCCTGTTGTCCACGAGACTCCTGAAGCCACATAACATTCCTGAGCTGCTATTTGCAACAGACCGACTACATCCAGACCTTGGCTTCTGACATCTGCTTAGACAATAAGACCTACCCATGCTGGAAATATCAATTCCATTGTTTGTCTCCATTCCTGATATGCCTCCAAAACCAGCGTCCTTGTAGCTCATTGTGGGTATGACTGCATTCTGATGAAAGGGTCTTGATAACTGTGCAATGAGATACTTTACTTAAATTGCTCTTTTTAAAAAGAATTATAGTTGGGCCTGGTGGTGCATGCCTATAATCCCAGCTACTTGGGAGGTTGAAGCAGGAGGATCACAATTTTGAGGCTAGCCTTGGTAACTTAGTGAGATCATCTCTCAAATAAAAAATTTTAAAAGGCTGGGGATATAGCTCAGTGCTCCCTAGGTTCAATCCACAGTATTAAAAAAAGGTTTGTGGGTTTTTTGTTTTGTTTTGCTTTTTCATTTTACTAAAGGTGTCACGCTATCTTTAGCTGAGCTAATTAGTGGTAATTTCTATTTACCTGTAAACTTTCATTGTATTCTCCTGATTATACCTTAGGATCGTTAAATCTAAATAAAGGCCTGTTGGCAAATGTTGATAGATGACAAAAAAGCTTTTGATTTGACGTTGGTCAAGGAAAAGACAGATGTGCTTTAGAATTATGAGTATGAGGAAACTTTGGTTTTTCTTAAGATTATATAACTGAGGAGGGAACACTGCAAGTAGAGTCTAAGGCTTTGTTTCTCTCCTAATCTGAAGCATTTCTGAACAGGCGAGGAAGGGAGGGGTGGTACTGGGGCAGCCTGGTCACAGCACGCTTGTAAATCATCCTCCCATAACAAAGGCCACATTGTTCCAAGTGTTCCCTGGCAGGGCTGCCAGGCTCCTTGGAACAGCGGGACAGGGGGTGATGGGAGGGCCATGCCTGCCTGTGAAAGGGCTCCTCCACTCCAATAGGAGCTCTCTCAGCCCAGGGAGCCTAGTTGTGACCACCACTCCATGTGGCCTTTGGGATTTGAAGTTCCTATTGAAACATAAAGCTTTCTTTCTGTAAGTTTAATTTTTCTTCTGATCATAGCAGAAACACCCAGATTTACTTACCAAAATAATATGAGAACTCTAAGGAGGAAAAAAAGAAAAAGAAAATAGCTTGAAACCCAGGTCTTTATTGGTATGTGGTCAATGGAAATTTCTGGCATCTCTAAAGATGTTTGAAATAAGAAGATAAAACTGAAAACTCCTTCTAGCATGGATTAAACAGGTAGAGAAAATAAAATGTACACTAAGATACTTAGTGTGTGATTTTACAAAACACTCATTTTATGGGGAAAATAAAATAAAACATGAGGTTGGAAGTCATTCTGAGATATGATAAAAGCAGGATGTTGGGCCAGGGATTTAGCTCAGTGGTTCCGACGCCTGCCTCGCAAGCGCAAGGTCCCAAGTTCCATCCCCAGTACCAAAAAAAAAAACAGGATGCTTATAGAAATAGATGTTTATTTTTTTGCCTAAGTATGCTTTCCACTTAATGCCAATTCTTTGATGGTGCTGAAATATAGAACTCAGATGTTTGCTTGCTTGCTTGTTTGTTTGTTTTTTGAGACAGACCCAGGCTGGCCTCAAACTCATAATCCTCCTGCCTCAGCCTTCCAAGTAGTGGGATTATAGGCATGTGACACAATGCTATCTACCTTTTTTTTAATCCTGCTAATCTAGACGTCTTAGTTTGAGGAAGAAAATGGCAATAGCCCCAAAGAAATTATAATATAAGCAGAGATTAGTATTTTCTAAAATAAAAAAATTAAAAGAAACCTGTTATATGACTTAAATCTTCATTCATTCATTCATTCATTCTCAAATGTTGAGCCTGCATTGAACATTCCAGGCACTCTGCAAGGTCCTGAGACACAGTTGTGTATGAGCCAGGCAAGTCCTTGATTCTGTGGCACTCACAGAATGAGCAGGAGGTGCTTCTCCTGATGTCTGGCCCTATGTGAGTATCTTCTGAAGGTTAAGTTGCAAAGCATATGTCTACATTCAAAGGGAACTTTCTGGAAATAGAAAACAAAACTGCTAACAAGCACTTACCTCAGGGCATAAATATCAAATGGGAAGGCTGAGAAAAGGAGTCTTACTTTGTATAGTTCTGTATTGTTTTGATTTTTTTGCAGAAAATATGTATTTGTATATTATCTTTGTGACGTTGTAGTTTTAAAAGTTCATTTTTATTTTATAAAAGAATATTCTAAGTTTCTACTCTGATATAACTGTGTTACTGTGTTACCTACCACAAAGCAGTTATCATGTCCTGAAAGTGCTTACAGTGGGCTGGGGATTTAGCTCAGTGACAATGTGCCTGCCTTGCAAGCACAAGATCCTGAGTTCGATCCCTGGTACTGCAAAAAAGTAGGAAAGTACTTTCGGTCCTCCACTAAATATGGTCACAGGTGGTCCCTGAGAGATGAGGGAAAATGTCACAAGTTTGGTTTATAATCATTATTTTACCATCTCTCAACTCATTGATTAGAGAAACTGAGCCAGGCACCCAGGTGAGCTGGAAGAAGTTGATGGTAAGTGTGGTTGGAATAAGAAGGCGGGAAACACAGGACAGAGCACAGATTTATGATTAAAAAAGCAGGAATGTAATAGAAACTTGGTATAAATCCTGCAAATGGCTTTCAACAAATAAGGAAAAGGAAGGGGACTGGGGAAATTGATCATTGTCCCCATGGCAGAGCCTCCTGGGACCTCTCAGGGACTATCTTGGTTATGTGCTCATTTCCTAGGCAAGGGAGAGGGTAGAGAAGAAACCAACTCCAGTACCTTCACCTCTGTGAAGGAGCGGAGCTCAGAACAGGCCTCAGAAGCCTTCTCTGGGTTTAAATTCTAGTTCTCCACTCAGACCACCTTGGCACCGTGGATCACTCCAAGCCCCAGCAACCACATATGTAAAATCCAGATAATCATGGATCTACCACATAGGAAGTTTATCCACCCCCAACACAACTAAGAAATGTGGGTCTTTGCTGTGGAAGACACCAATAAAATTACTTCACAAATGATACAGAGAATGATATTAGATGATGAGGAAGTTCAGAGGCAATCCTGGGGAAGTGAAAAATGGAAGAGGAGAACACCTTGGACCACTACACTTCTAAGACTGTCTAATACAGAGGTTAGGAAGAGTGCCTGGAGTCCACTCTGATAGCTACATTCCACTCTTACCTCTCCCACATAGTGGTTCACTTCTCTACATCTTAGTTGACCAAAAAATTGGATAACAACAGGACTTACCTCTTTGGGTTGCATTGAGAATTAAAATATCTGATGCACATATACCACTTAGCACCTAAGAGTCACTACCATCAGTAATAAATTTTGATGATTGCTATATAGGGTTATGTTTCCAATAGAACTTTTCCCATCACTAATGTTAGCTAGAAAGCTGCTATGCAGATTCTGTGACTCACACCCTGATTTACCACTCCAACCTTACCCAATATGTCCATACTAAAGGGACACCTCCAACCCCCCAGACCCATGTCAGCCACCTGGAGGTGACATAAAAGGATCGAGATGAATGCTGGTGCTGGTTTCTCCTTCTTCAGGCTGGTGTGTGAATGTTTATCATCTAAACTGTGGCTGGGCAGAGCCAAAACAAGCTCATACATGCAAATCTCCTGCCAAGAACTTCGAAGGCCACTTTTTAGAAATGCAATCAATGGAGGTGTAAATACTGTGAAGCAGTTGACTTCTGCTTTTGTAAACCTCTCTGCAGCCCTCTGCTCAGCAAATATAGTGGGCACAGCAAAGTGTTTGGAAGTGTTCCACAGCTGGGTAAGCCCAGCATTGGGCCCAGAGGGCCAGGGCCTATGCAGATAAGTTCTGTTTATGCCTCTGCCCCTAAATTACAGTGGTATTTCAATAACAAAGAATTCCATCAAGCTCCCCCTAAGACCACTATTATTTATTTTACCCTGGTTACTAGAAACAATCTCAACAACAAATAATCCAGTGTTACAAATATTGTCTAACATCCTGTCAGAGAAACATCAAGAATTCTGCCTCTTTTTAAAAGGAATTTAAGAAGACAAATCCAGATGGTGAAGGATTTGCAGACTATGTGTGAAAGAGCCATGGGGATGGCTAGGGTGTTGCCACCATCAGTAAGAACCTTAATCCTGCTCCCTTCTCAAATTCAGGAGTAATGACAACAATAAGAACTTTCTGGAACCTTTTCTCTTTAGATTTTATAGGGAATGCCAGCAACACCAATTTTCCTGGGTTATTATTCATTGTAACCAGACAAGCTCTGTGATTCCTTCTGGGGTCGTTTCCTGAGGGGCCTATCATGAGTTCTCCTCAGAGACTGCCTGACCATTCTCATTTCCCCTCAGCCAGGGCAGGATCACAGTTTCCCAACTGCTCCTTTGTGGGAATTTCCCCCACAAACTTGTTCACTTGCCCCAAGCATGGATTTGTTTTTTCCCTCTTGGGGTATAAGATGAAAGTTGAACTCCCATTTTTCTCCTAAACAAGGGGCTCTCTGTAACACACCCATAGCTTCTAAGCCTGAGGGTTCAGAGGGGCTGAGTGGAAGACTTCGGACTGGCAGTGGCTCATCCATGTGGGCACAATGGGAAGCCAGCAAGGCCAGGAGGTTCTGCCATTCCTGTGACTGCACAGCGGGGTCTGGCAGGCTTCAGAGGGCTAAGAGTGGTTTTGATTTGAGGCAGGGAGGAAACTCAAAAGCCAGACTGCACGATAGACATGAGTCTGCTTGGTTCTAAGACAGATTGGCAGTCACCCCTGCCTGCTTGGACGTCTTTATTCTGGAGTGGGGCTGGAGCCCAGCAGCAGCAGGCTGATGGCAACAGCAGATGTGGCCTAGTGTGAGGGGGCCAAGGGCCAGGGAGCCAGTAGCAGATGGGAAATGAAAGATGGAGGGAGCAGGCCAGGAACTGGGGCCAGGGCAAGGAGAGTAGGCAGAAGGGGTGTCTCTCCGAGGAGCTGCGATGAGCCGGCCATCACCAGAGTTTAGGCTATGGCTTCAGGAAGACCTGGGGTAGAGACCCAGATCTGTTACTTCAGAATTGGGCCAGCTGCTTCATTCTTGTGAGCCTCCTTTTCCTTTTCTGTAGAATACTAAAGATGGATGGGAGAGTTGTGGGAAATGTTCACTATTTCAAATCCTCCCCCAAAACTGTGCCCAGCACACAGGTTTTCAGTAAATATAATAGAAGCAGTCATTATAGTATCTTTGTGTTCCTAAGCAGGTTATAATCCCTGAGCTTCCGTTTCCTCATCTGTACAGTGGAAATCTCATTACCTTCTTCGGGATTCAGAAGATTCAAGGAGAATGTGTATAATCTGGAAGGTTGTAAATGTTGAGAAAATTCAAATCTCTTCCCCTTCTCTACTGCTCTGACCCCCAGACACAGGTACATCCCTCCTTCCCTTGCCTGAGGGCACAGGAGGTAGCCCCTACCGAGGAAGGAGACGGCTGTTTCTCAGGGCCGGGTGACTAGTTTAGAAACTTTTTAAAGGAGAGAGGATTAAATGCAGAGATACTAATAATGAAAGAGATGAGAAAAATAATAATGGAACATGAAGCCAACTTCACATAAAGAAAAGAGCACGGTGCATTGCAGAACTATAAACACTTAAGTCAACCTGAGACACTGGACAGAACCAGGGCTTGGGCAGTTTCCAGCTAGGCCTTTGTCCTGTGCAGGGGTGAGGGCCTGAAGGACAATAGTTAGGGCCGGAGGCCCGCTGGGGAGAAGGTGCGGTGCACACCCAGTCCAGAGCACAGGACACCTGCAGGAGTTCTGCACAGGCACAGCGACGGAAAGGAAAGGGGGCTGCTCAGCACTGTGCTGCAGAAATCCGGGCACAGGAAACCTCTTCACTTCTTTAGTTTAAACATGGTAAGAGACCAGGGTAAACCTCACTCACGGTATTATGAACACAACTACATGGGAGGAAAACCAGTAACGTCTAGTCTGGTCCTTGCTGACATTGAGGTATTTAGTGTCTCCTGTTGATACCATTCTTCTCCCTGGCCCCAAGACATACACCCTTCTCAAAGGCACAGGTAGGCTCTGAGTGTAGAAATTTCCCTTACTAGAAAGCTTTGGAGCCTCATCAGAGAATCATTGAGAACTACAGTTACATCCTGGGAAAAGACCTGAAAGCCTGACCCCATGGCATACAGAGAACCCCATTAGCTATGCAGCTTGGCTGCTTCCATGGCCCCACGGCCCCACACAGGTAAGCAATATTATATGTGTACTTATGAAATGTTGTAAAGGAATATGAACATGGAGTATAGTCAGAAGACATTGATTCAGGTCTTTTGTGAGAGCATGAAAATATCACTTAAAACTCAACTTGTTTTTCTCCTCTTTAAGATGGTGCTCTCACCTTCCCCACCCTCCTGGGGTTATCCCGAGGATTAGACAAGGTCAGGTATGTGAAAGCACTACTCAAACAAACATAAGGTGTGATTATTTGCCCATAAAGATGGTGACTCAGCATGCATGAAAGGTCTTTCAGGCCCAGATGGAAGAGAGGAGAGGCCTGGCAGTGGAAGCACACACCCTTGTAGGAGCGGCCCTGAACGGCCTAAGAGCAATGACTGCGAGCTTTTACCATGAGAAAAAAGTGTATTTTGGAAAGCAATATACCCAAACAGGTTTACCAAATTAATCATGTATACAGAAGCACTGATCTTGTGTAGAGGCATTAATACCCTCAAGGCTTTGCTGAAAGATGTGTTTAATCGACATTTGTCTTAGGTTTATCTAGAGGATCATGAGGAAATAAGAGTAGGAATTATGCTACTCTTGAATACAAGGAAGCAAACTGTAATACACCATGCTCACAGGTTTTGCCCTTACAAGTTATTTAACCTTTTCTTCTCAAAGCCTATTTCCCCACCTGCAAAATAGGGATAATAAAATGTATCTCACTGGTTTGTTCTGAGGCTTAGATAACCCCTGGAAGCTATAACGCCTGACTCAAAGTACACAATAAATAAGATGTGAAGTAATATTTTTTTCTGAAGGGTAGAAGGTTAACATTCCAATGAAGACCAAGTCAGATGTCTGCTCTTTTAAAATGAAATTTATTGTACATAAAATAAATTAATTACAGTTCAAGCCAAAGCACAAGTGGCTTTTTAAAGTGCATCTGTGTAGGGGATTTGGCAGGTAGCCCCTGCATCTAGACACTCTGTAAGATAGTGTTCTTGTACTTTAGCCACCCATTGCCATGACTCAGCCAGGCCTAGGAAGCAACCCAACGTCATTGTCATAAGCCATTTACACAAATCATACCAAAATCAACTAATACGTTTTTCTGTACCTGGTCCAACAATTAAAAAAACAAAAATACAAGGAACTATGCAGTCTTACAATTAGTCTGGGGTTGAAGAGTTTAAGTTCCCAGCTACTCAACACGTGTCCAACTAAACACCCCATCCTGTGTCAGGAGCGCCAGGGCCTCCTGCAGACCACAGTTCGCAGCTGTATGTGTACAGAATATTTTGGCCCATGAACTTGAGTCCTTTTGAGGGGAGGGAGATTTTTTTTTCCTTGTTCTTAAAAAAAAAAAAAAAGAAAAGAAAGAAAAAAGAAATCTGGGTATCCTTCAGGCTAGAAAGGTACTCTGTAAGGAATAGTTTGCCAGAGATATGAATCATGTGGATAAGAGAAAAGCAATTTTTCCTCTTAGGAGAAAACAAAGAAGGGGGAAGGGAAAAAGGCAAGCCTGCGAATACTTAAATCTGTTCTTTCATTCCCACCAGAAACCATTCCAATATATCTGGCTGAAACTACAGCTGACCATCATTTACAAGGCAGGTGAGAACAAAAACCAAAACACATCTGCCCTCTTCCCCACTCTAAGGACAAGACACAGACATGTCACATGTACACAATGGCTTGATGGGCTCTCTCAGGCCTCATCCATCTGTCCCCCTGCTCCGCACAGCTTCCTTTTCTGCAGCAGTTCCACAGGCCCCTGGGCCCTTCTGCTCCAGCCCTTTCTGGAGCCATGAACTACTGCCAGCATCCAATGTCCCCAACCTAGAGGCACCTCCAGGCCTCTTCCTCAAAGACCAAACCCCCTTGAGTAGTCACACTTCAAACAGAGGTGACAGTCCTCACTTTGGCAGAGAGAGCTTGCTTGAATCTTCTCTTCAGGTCCTGCATGTTGGGTGACTTGGGCCGGGGAATAAGAGAGGTCCTTCGCTTCTCGGGCGTGCTGCTGGGCTGCTGTTTGTGACTCACTTCTTTGCACAGGACGTGGAAAGCGTTATAGACATCATTGTAATTTTCGCTGACAGACACTTCATAGAAAGAGCAGCCCAGCATGCTGGCCAGCTGCAGTCCAAGCTGAGGGTCAACCTGCTTGATGTGCAACAGGTCAGCTTTGTTAGCCACGAGCACCATGGGCAGCCGAGTGCCCAGGTGGAGCTGCTGGACGTGTTGGTGGAGCTGGCTGATGAGTTCATAGCTCTTGTGGTCAGTGATGGAAAAAACAATCACCACAGCATCTGCCCACCGGATGCACCGATTCAACTGCTCATTGCAGTTCAAGCCATTTTCATGGACCTGAAAGAGGGGTGAGGGCAAGGTGAATGGTTAGTGCTGCAAAGAGCACTGGCTTGGTTGGATACCGAATTCAAAAGAGCCCTTCACAGTAATGCCGGGTTGCAAGTCATAAACATGTTATATCCCCACACACTTCAGCTTTCTTGACACTATGTTGATCCAGCTGCATGGAGTTGGAATAAATAACAGTGCAGCTCACCACACTCAAGTGGAAAATTGACCTGCAGAGAACTCCATGCAGAGAGACTTTGTAGTTGCACAAAATGGGAAATTAACTGGCTAGACAGTAAGTCTGGGGAAGTAAAGATAGGAGCTGGAAGCATTTAAACCTGGATAACTGCCCAGTTTGGAAGGGGGGAAAAAAAAACCACCAACATGGCTCTTTTGTCTATAGAGTAACTTTCCACAACATAAAAGTGATTCAAAGTATTTGAAACTATACCTCGGCATTTAGTTTCTAATGCCAAAGACATGTACGTAAAAATTGATCTTTTTAATGATAGCAAGGAAACTTTGTCAACTCCAAGTGTTTGGTTTGGTCTTTCCTGCTGTGCTGAATATTCCTTACAGAAGGATTCTGCCCCTTAGCCAAATCTTCCAAATGGAGCCAGGCTAAGACTGACCAACAGCCAAATACAACTGAAGTGTCAAACAATATATATCCAGCCCTGACTCCCCAAATCTCCCCTTTTAGCAAGAGCTACTTTGAGAACAACTGAACAATACCACATCCAGCAAGGCTCCCATATGACCCAGTCACAACCTCCGAGCTTCTCACCTGAATACCTGGAGTGTCCTGAACTTGTATCGCCAGGCTTTCACCTTCTATCTGGACTTGTCTGGTGTAGAGATTACCTGTGGGGGCAAAGAAAAAAAAAGATTACGCTTTTCCTTCATTGTGACTTTTAGAACATTGTGAGTTTTTTTATTTAGAAAAAAATGTAGCCTGCACAGATGTACAAAAAGAAGATATAGGATTTTTTCTACTTAGTGGGCTTATTTTTAAAATGTTTTTAAGGCCAACTGAGATTTTAACCCCATGTTTAGTTGGTTTATTAAAACCAGAGCAAAGTTTGTGAGTTTTTGAAAACTTTGTCTAATTTTAAATGAAGCTTCCATATTTACACTATTTCCTTGAAGCAAATTTTCTTGTTTTAGCATGTGTGGAATTTGTTTTATTTTAGTATATTATCATTCTTTGATCCTAAATTTATATTTTGGCCATGAGATATGCGTTGGTAGGCAAATACGGTTAGTGAAAGCACAGCTCACATTATCAGGTAGAATAAAAATATGACATAATTAACTACATCAAAGCAGAAGGCTAGTATGTCTTTCCTTGGGACGGCTTGTATAACTTATTTCAGAGAATCCCCTGTGGGCACTTCATCCAGGGTACAGAGTGAAGCAATCTCGTAACAAAGCATAGGTAGAAAGCCTGTAAGTCTCCAGTGGCTATTCTTAACCACAGGGACTAAAACATTTGTTCTCTCATTTATTCAGGAACTCTCCTTCTAAAATTCTACCACTTAGTTACTTTTCTTTGTTAGAAAAAGAGAACTTTAGGTTTATAACTGTTCTCCTTTGGCCTTCGCTTTAAAAGGTCACCTCTGAAAAGCAGCCAGCAGAGAGGGAGGGGGCAGGGGAGGAGCTAGCCAGAGTTTTTTATGACTTCTGCAGGAGTGTTTTGAAGGGAGAGGCCCTGGGGTACAAAGGGTGCTTCCAACTGAGGTCCCTATAGTTAAAACATACCAAAGGGAATACTTTCAGGCACTTGATAAAATGATGAATGGGCCTGGAATGGAATGAAGCCAGATGGCAGCTGGGGGACGGGTGGATGGAGGGGCATGCAGAGTTGGAAGTGGCAGGATTCTGATGTTCAGACTGTCACTGTGATGGAAGCTGCCGGGAAGGCTCTGAAAAGTGGGCACGGCAGTTCTCCTGACGGCCCTTTCCTCCATGCGCTTCCTCACCTGCATTTCTTTCATAGTCTCCGATGAATCGCCTGGTGAGGAACCGGACCACCAGAGCTGCAGGTGAGAAACGAGAAAGGAAAGAGACTTAACCCTGGAAGTTAGATGCGTCTCCACCTCACCCCCGGAACACAACTCTGGGTGAAAGCCACCAAGGAAATTCCTACCCCGCAGCTCCTTGACCCTTCTTCCAGGCACAGTGAGGGGCAGCAGGCCTGATGAACTACAGCTGTGCCAGCCTAGCCGGAGGGTCTCCTTGCACACCCTTCCCTGCGTGCTCCCCGAGCCACACACTTCCAGCAGAGCCTCCCCAGCCCTGCTGACCTCTGGGAGGTGTTACGTTCACTAAATCCCTTTCAGTTCCAGACACTGCCAGACGCTCAAACCCCCGAAGTGCTGACCCCCGTGAGCCGGTAATGCCCGGAAAGCCTCCCGGCCGTGCTGTGTCCCGGTGACCCTCCCCTAGGCACGCAGAGGGGCGCAGGCGATGGTGGCTCAGGTCCCTTCCGGGGGGCCCGGTTCCGAGGCCCGGCCGCACCCCACCTCTCCCCACGTCTCCTTAAGGGCGAATCCCGGCGGGGGTCTCCCCGACCGGCCCGCAACTAAACGGACTCCGCTGGGGCGCGGACTCACCGGTCTTGCCCACGCCGCTGGCCCCCACCACGGCGATCTTGACGAGCCGGCGGCCCGCGGCCCCCAGACAGCACTCGGCGGCGGCGGCACTGCCCGCGGCGGGGTACTCGGCGATGGTGCACATGTTCTGGATGAGGCGCATCGCCGCTCCGGCCTGGGCTGCACCGCGCGGGACAGGTGGAGGCTAGCGCTTCGGGGAGAGGGCGGAAGGACGGAGAGCAAGCGCTCGACGGCAAAGAAGAAACCGCACAAGCAAGAGAGTGCCTCGGGGGATACGGCTCCCAGGGCTCAGGCTCTGGGCTGGGAGTGACGGCAAGCGCGCGCGCAGTTTTCTCCCGGGAAGGCCCCTCCCCTTACTCCTGCAGCCAATCACAAAGTCGTCTCGCCTTAGGCCCCGCCCCCGGCTCAGCTTCCGGACCGCGGCGCCGGGGCGGGCACCCAGAGCTAGTGCCGGGCCCCGTGAGGCGAGTGGAGAGGGGCTGACGGGCGCGAGGAGAGGAACGTGCGGGCCCCGCCGCGCACCCAGTGGCGAGCGCCGGTACGGGGCGGCTGCTGTGGCTGCGGGGTCGCGGACGTTTCCGGTGCGGGGGAACCGGCCGGGCCCTGGGTCCCTCTGCCTGCCCACGCGCGCCGCCCCGGCCTCTCACGAGTGCTTCCCGGCCACCTGCTCTGCCTCCACGATCCTTAATTTGGGACGTGATTGCATTGACTTGGGGGTGTCAGGGGTGGCAACGTGCCTCACAGACTTTTAGCTACCTTTGCAATCACTAACAAAAACCACCATCCCTAAATGCCCTAAAATGTGACATTTGATTTGGGGACAAAGTATCACCTATTTCGCTCTAGACCCACGTTCTGGGTCTGTTCGACCTCCAGAGCTCACGTGAATGCGCACACGGTGGAGCGTCTGTACTGCACCCCCAGAAGCAAATCAAGAAGTAATTATAGAACAGGCTTTCTTGCCTGGCGCACAATCACACCTCCTCCAGGCGCTGTTAAAGGATAGGAAGACAGTCATCCCAGCTGCGGGCAGACAGCTGTGGATGCCGACTCTATTGGGAAGCAGAGGTCTGAAAGGTCCCTACTTAGTCCCTGAGCGTAAGGCTCCTCAAGAGTTAGTTAGAAGGGGCTTGATGCCAAGGGAGATGTAGGTTCTGCACTCATAAAACCAAGCTCCTTATAGGCCACATTCCTCCTCTGAGCAACCTTCTGTAGCTGGCACGGACTGCAACATATGTCAACACCCGCTCAGGCTGGCCACCTACCTCATCCCTACCTCTCCACCACTTCTGCAGGCCTCAGAAGTCCCAGACACTTTTACCCAGAAGCATATGGCAATAAATTGTGACTTTGTGTACCCCCTCATTAAAGGTTGAAATGTAAAAGTAAACCCCTCATTTGTGCGCACCAGGCATCTAGTGTGACCTTGTCCTAATTTGAATTTCATTGAGCAAGTAGTTGGCAGAATTTACCGCCTAGACCCAGCTCAGGCTCTGCGATAAACCGTCTTGTTTAGGAGGTGGCAGGAATTCAAGGGGATGTAGTCTCAAACTGATTTGGTAGCAAGACCTGTAGGATGGGCAACATGATTAGCAAGACACACAGCCTTAGCAATCACCATGATAACAAGAGACTGTTAGAGTGTAGAATGGTGTGAGGTCAGCCATTTGAGTCAGAAAGAAAGCATTTTTAATATGCATCATGGCTTTCTTTGTGTTTTATATTGAATTGGAATTTTATAAAATCAAACTTAGCAAAACTATAATTACAGGTAACCATGTACTTTTTAAACCCCTCCCCTAAAAAAGCCTGCAATTCTGTCATGTTTACATGGTAAAATGATTATGTAGTCTACATTGTTTAACTGGGTTTCACTCACACACGCGCATACAGAGCTGTGGCAAAAATTGTCAAGGAGAATTTTGCTTTGGATCATTTTAACTTCTGGGGCTTGATTTTCATTTCCATGAAGCTGTACCAAACCTGTGATTTTTCTGTCTGTATCATAAGGCTGAATTTGGTTTCTTTATTTTAGGTCTAACTGATCTGGCTGTGCTTTAAAGAACACAGAAGAGAAAGAAAAGAGCAGAAGGTGGAGAAAAGAAAGGAGTGTTATTCAAATCGCAAACATCTGCCCCCCAGTGCTCTACACCCCACCCACCTCAGAAGAGGACGCAGAGTTGTCTCCTCTTGGAGATTTGGGTCATTAGTAGAGAAGGAAGGATCCAGGGCAGCGGAGGTGATATGTAGAGGACTTGTTTTGTTCCCCACTGTAGGAACGGGACTTTGCATACAGTCCTATGAGGTAGGTACTGTCATTTCTTCCAAGTGCAGCAATCTACTGTGGCTCTGCCAACCACCACAAACCCTAGTGGCTCATGGTCTTCTGAGTTGACCAGGCTTGGCTGGGTGGCTCTTTCACAGGATCTCTCCCGCTTTTGCAATAAGATGGCAACTGGGACTGTGTCATCTGAAAACTCAACTGAACTGGACATCTAAGGTGGCTTCTTGACTGGCACAGCTACATTTCCACTGAAGACCTGGGGCCGCTGGGACCAGCATAGGATCCCTCACAGACTGGCGACCAACCTCGTTAGAATGATGTCTATGTCAGGAAGTAGAAGCAGCCAATCTCTTAGGGCCTGTGCAGTGAAACTGGCCCAGTGTCACATCTACTATGTTGTGTTGGTCAAATGGTCATGGAGTTCACCCAAATCATAGGGAAAAGAGGAGGAATATGGATCCCATCCTTAGCTGGGAACAGTGTCAAAGAATTCGTGGCCATCTTTATTGCCACACTTTCATTTTAAAATGAAAGACAGAACTTCAGGAAGAAAAAAAAGCAAAAACCTCTTCTAAGGTCACATATCTTATAAAGGACAGAGCCAAAAATCTGACAAGATTAATAATATTTAAATTAACTAGGATATTCATGCTGAGACTGTGTCCTATGGTAAAATACTACATAGTACTGTTCTCTCTCTCTCTCTCCCCAAAGGGACTTAGGGAAAAAAGAAAGAAATATTTTGCTGTTTTGATTTTGCCTCTGCATCTGGAGTTTCTATCACCTCCTTTGATCTTTAGAGTTGATCTTTGATGTGACAGTTTCCAGAGATAATTCAGTGTCTCAAAGCCCTTAGCATACCAGAATATGAATTCAATAAATATTTGTTGAACATCTGGGCCATGAGTATACCAGGCACTGTGCTGGGTCTTGGGTCTACACTGACAAATAAGGGAGACACATCCTGTGTCATCACTGCAGTTACATTTAGCATGAGAACCAGAGAAACAACTGAACAATTTCGGTACAGTGTGAGAAGATGCTCTGACAGGAAGAGTCCAGAGTTATGGGAACACATAGTAGAGCTAAAAGCCTGGATTGTGACCATCAAGGAAGAATGTAGAAAATTTAGAATGAGGAATTGCAAAGTCATGTGTTATTACAAGCATGCACGTATGTATATATGTGCATGAATGTGCAAGGATGCTGCAGGTTCAGAGGAGGTGGGGAGGGTGGTCTGGGGTGAGCCAGTATGCAGAGGATGCAGCATTTCCCACCAGAAGAAGTGCTCAATAAATATTTGTGGACTGTGAAATGAAAGAATAAATGAATGGAGAAACATTAAGAAACAGGATAGTTCTTGATGGGCAAACAGAGAGAAAAGGGGACTAGGGATTTAGCTCAGTGGTTCCACCACCTGCCTCCCAAGAGCAAGGACCCAAGTTCGATCCCTGGTACAAAAAAAAAACAAAGAGCAAAGCCCTGGTGTGTCAGAGGGCATATACATTAATGAAATAAACCCAAGAAGTTGATATGATCCTCCCTTTTTCCATGGGAGCACACCCTGTGGGAGCAAAATGTGCGGCTCCTTTGCCAGTATCACCAAGTGTTGTTTCCCAATTGACCACCTGAGCATCATTGGCCTTTGGTAAAAACCAGATTTTTTTTTTTTGAGACTTGTGTTAACTCTACTTGTTGGATCAAGCAAATAGATACCTCTGGCTATTTTAAGCAGAATACAATTTAATAAATTGAAAAAGGAAGAAAAAGGTAAAGAGTTCTCTGCTTTCAGTTTTGGAAGGACTAGAGAAGCTGTCTGTCAGCTAAGCCTGCAAAAATGAGTCTCAGAACAATGCTGCAGAAGTGGCTCGCCCAGGGGGCTGCTGTGTCTTCCATCACCAGGAGAAGCCACAGGCTGCCTCTGCTGGTGTCTCTTAAAACCCACAATGCCAGCGACTGCACACTGGAAAGTTGTTGCAGAAAAACCCAATATCTGCACAACTGTGCCTGACAGCAGAAAGCAACCAACCACCCAAAAGCAGTCTCCTTCTTTGCTTCTGCCATAAAAACTGCTCTGAGCACATCTACTTAATGAAATTAATTTGAATCTATTACCCTAGCTGCAAGGGAGTCTGGGAAATGTCGTATTTCAGTTTCTAGTCTTAACAATACATGAAGACACAGTAGAAATGGGTAAAAAAGAAGCTAAGTATGAACCCATGATTACCTCTACACTTCTCCAGCCCCCCAAAGAATACAAAGGCTCAGAAAGTGAGGTCATGCCCCACCAAACATTTCATTTTCAATTGTAAGACTATAAAGAGGTTCTTCATACTTGCTTTGATGTAACATGTATTGATACCCATCTCTGCTACTTTGAACAGTCTTCACATAGTCTCACACAGAGAACATCTTTGGAATTTATGTGCTCAGAATCCTTTCCTTCCTAATCCTTTTAGTAAGAACACTCTAATTTTTCCTTGGATATCTTCCCTGTTCCACTCTCACGTTCTCTGGGTGGTGCTAGTGGGGTGAACCCAATCTCTCATTTCAAGGGTGGATGCCAGTCAGCTATAGGGATTTGTTCATGACAGGGCCAACAAAATGCCTCCCTGAAAGTTTTGCTGGGAAGGGGCCACTTTATTTGCATTGCTGTTAATATTAGCTGGTAGAAAGTGAGCCTGCAGCTTCAGATAGTCTTCTTGGCTCCCTCATGGGACAGTTGATCTGGGAACAAAGTCAACCCAGAGGAAGGCAAAGTGGAGAAGCAGAGAAAGCCAGGACACTATGGCATATTTTCCTGTCTTACATTCAGCTTTGCCTGAAAATCCAGACCTAGTTGAAGTTAGAGACGCTAAAACAGTTCCCCTTGTAGAGTCATCTGGTTTGTGTGGGATCTTCATCATTTGTACTGAACAAGCCTTCATACATCCTGTTCACATTGAGTCATGGTCCCCACACATGACATACTGCAATTGCTCCCTGGCATGAGACATGACCCTCGTTCACATTGCTGCATCACAGCCATTCTCACTTCA